ATATGATCTTCACATATCTTTCTCACGAGTTCTAATCCTATTTATCCGTCTGTACCAGGCAAAATGTATTACCTGCGTGTATTACTGGTTAACGATGGACATACTAAAACTCTTATGAGTCGTCCTGGTCGATGGTATGTACGTGTAAAACACGGCAATCTTGGTGCTCTAAATGAATGGGACACGAAAATTTATGCGCAATTCCTTCAATTAAATTCTTTTTTAAGTCTCCATATTTTGTGATCATCTGACCTGATCGAATTGTGCTTCTCTAGTTGCAAATAAGATGTGGTGTTGGAGGCGTGGAAACTTAGCCTCGTTTAATGTTAGTTGTCCAGGATGCCAATTAATTCAGTCGATGGGCTTTGAAGATGAAGCATAGGAAAAGGATAGAGATCCCGTAATAAGTGCCCATAAAAGTTTTATCTTATATGGTGAATTTGGGACTACATTATATGGGAAACTTTATTATACATGTAATTCAGGAGGGCAACTGGAAAGTATTATGTAAATCAAATGTGAGTCATAATGTTAGAATTTTATAGTAAGCCTACCCTCTCTTTTTAATGTGCTTATCCTATGTCTTTAGAGCAAATATTTTTTTTAAAAAAATTTATATTTAATACCAGGGTTACATTTAAAATTAGGAGATTAAAAAAAAAAAGAATTGTTTCTTACTTTTGCTAATGAGGTGCATTGGACAATTGGCTTGAAGCAAGCAAAGGAATTTGAAGTTTATCGTGAAAATATCGAGAAGTGGAATGAAAATCTTACCGATGTCAATGGATTTGGAATTTTGCATTTAAACTTGTTCTTTGAAATGTCAATAAATCTCAAATCTGTTTTTTTTTTTTTTTTGTTTTTTGATAATGCGTAATCTTTTCTTACAATAATAATGTATACACGCGAAGGCATTCCATCATGTTTCATATTCATATGCACCACCACGTGACATTAACAACAAATAGGATCTGCGGTAGGAAATGGCCAAACCCCATCTACGTGAGCTGAACTTAAAGTTCCGGCTTAAAAATTCCTTCCCACGAGTTGAGACTCCTTCGAAGGGAGAAATTCAAGCAGCATTTAAGACTTTATTGTATGTACACTAACATGTCTTGACGTATGCTACATGTTTGGAGTTCAAACTTGAATTAAGATGCCGTAGCATACTTTCAAGCTTTCAGTGTATGTATATGTTAATATAGAAAAGATTAATTCAATTATAAATAATAATAAAAGTATTTATTTTGATCTTTGAGTCAGTTGAGGAAGTCAACACTTCATGATTTAACAAATAGCCCTAAACTATATCCCGATTCGGCTGAAGCAAGCAAGTGGTCTTTGGCATTAGGGATCAGTGCCTCTCTGTAGCAAAGGTTTGAAAATCTAAAGACAAACCTAACCCTCTTGATTACGAAATTAGGTAATGATTAAAAAGCTAGTTGGTGTTAGTTGATGTTAGATTGTGGGCTTAATTGGGTCCATCTAACACTACTGAAATGCGTTCTCAATTAATTAGCGGCCGATGGAACTTTAAAAGCCTCGCTCTACATAGGTGGCCTTTCCAAGAGGCGAAAGATTAGCTCTAAAAAAGAAAAAGAAAAAGAAAATCTGATTTTACTAGCATACTCGTATTTAATATAGATAATTATTATAAATTTTTTTAACACATTCATTTTTCCTAATGACTCTAAACTGAAAAGCAATATGGTGTGCTATTTTTTTTGCAATTTTAAGGCAGATTATTAGCCTGGTGTCCTTTCAATCTTCCATGGGACAAGAAGTAAAAGCACTCCTACTTCGGCCACACGAAATAATTGGTTTGGAATTATAGTATACAAACGCGGAATTATATTGAGAGAGACGGAAAACGTTACCATACAAACACTTTTTTATTTTATTTATTTTAGTAAGATGATGTAGAGAGAGCGTTATTAAAGCAAAAACAAAGTGATAGGAAAAACATCGTGGTCTCTTTGATGCGGTAAAATTGATGTCCTAATTCTTATCATTTAGATGTTATGACTGTTTTGGCCAAAAAAAACCCATTTATCATTATTTTTTACATTAGGTGTTTTCTTTTTCTTTTTTTTTTTAACTTTTCTTGGAGTATTACTTTTACAAACTATGTCTTCCTTAACGATTTAAGTCCGTACTAGTGAATTTCTTGCATCAGTTTTAATATCATTCACATGATTCTGTAAAACAAAATTAATTGATTCATATGAAATAGTTTTTGCAAAAAATAAATGAATAAATAAAAGATCCAAAATTAATTGGTCATTTAGAGCAACAATTAAAAACTTGCAAAGGACCTATTTTCAAGGATTTTGGATGGTTCAGCCAACATCTCGACCAACGATTAGTGGAAATTTTTTTTTTTTTTTTTTTTAATAAACGAGAACAATCATGGGCAGTTCAACCGCGAAAGGTAAAACTTAACAGCTTTATAAAATTGGACTTATACTCTCCATAATTTTCCTAGACGATAGTATTTCAGTTATTTATACAGCATTTATCTTACTAAAAATAGCAGCATCTGCAATCATAATTATTTTGCATGATCAACGCCGTGATTTGTAGGGCACAATCGTGCATGCATGGCACGTAACAGACCTAAGTGTCCTTTTAAAAATATCAGGAAATGAAAGAGTAGCGGAAATATTCAATCAAGGGGACCTTTAATTAGGATGGGGCTTGGCATATCGACGAGGAAGTGCAATTTTCAGGCCAATTATTAGCTTACACAAAATCTTTTACTTCGCTGTCCATCCAGCAAGCTAGAATTAAAAGCAAGCCGTCTGTGGCCTCAAGAAATAAATTTTATTAGGGTTAAATAGAAAATGGAAATAAAAAAGGATAACGTTTTTATACACTGTTAGAGTATAAAATATTCTTTACCCTAGTAAATTTAAATTATGGCAGATGACATGAATTTAGATTTAAAATTCTATCACATCAACTAATTTTTAGGAGTTTATCTATTATGATATTTTCCATAAACCGTGGACTAATAGACAACAAACAATTGCACGAATCTAAACTATCTCTATGCAATGAATCACCGGAGTCAACTTAGTGACTAGGGGAGGGATGTTATAGTCTTTTCTACTGTCATAAATTAAATATTTGAAAGTAAAATACTCGTAAAGAGTTGGTACTTTAAATGAGTAATGCGTGTTTACCCATAAATTATACTCCTTAAAATTTATTAATTGTTAATTGATTTATAGTACTTTGTCATTCATTGGATATGTAGCACAAAGGGCAAATCTGATACAAAATTCTAATTTCACTCCCTAAAATAATATTTTAATCGTTTGGACTAAATTTGCAAAGGATTAGTAACCTCAGGGGAGCTCAGTGTAATTTTTCAAACTACAGGGGAGGTCAGTGCAAATGTCAGAAACCTCAGGAGAGGTTTCTGCAATTATCCCTAGATTTTATCCACCAAAATGCGCACAAGGACGATATAAAAATCTCTGAAGTATGACGGAAACCCTGAATTGCATACACTTTAGAGACAAAAATTTGTACTCGCTTACGTAAAAAATAACAAGAACTCACCTTTTATCTTTATACTTTAACCACACAAAGAAAAAACATATAAGACAATCTCTCTATTTTAAGATGAGACTACCAATAACTTTTCTATCTTCTCTACTATTATACACGTGGTGTGAATTTTTCCAAGGATATGTCTTTCCTAGCTTTTAGGTCTATTAGAATTCTCATTATTAGGAGGATCAAGATGTCCACAATTATCAAAGTAAAACTAGGAGGTAAGTTAAAGTGGGTAGATAATTAATCCCATTTATGATAATTACCTTTTTAACGATTGAAGGTGCTATGATAAGAGTACCTAGTATGCCATGATATCTTATTTGCCCGTCAGCTAATGTTTATATATTTCATCGTTTGGGTTGTCTCCAACTCGAGAAGCTTGCCTGAAAGGATTTTAGAGGGAGTACAAGCTCAATTAAATCAATTTCCAACTACACTGGTTTCTTTGAGCCCCTGCATTGCAATCTTGCTTGTACTTGCTATATTCGGTATCCTACGTATGACTCATTGGCCTATGGTTTTATCGATTGCATGAAAAGACTACTTCTAGGGGTGTGCAAAATCAAAAAATTTCGATTTATCGATCGAATTCGAATTGAATTCGGAATTTCAAATTCGGTAATTCGGAATGAAAATTGAAATATCCGATTTCAAATTGGTCGAATTCGGTAATGAGATTTTTCAAATCGAAAATTTCGATTTCGAATTCACAATTCGAATTCAAAATCGAAATTGGAATTCGAAATTCCTATTTCGATTTCAAATCTGTTTTTCATATATATATATAATATATATAATATAACATTTATATTATAATAATAATTTTTATATTCATGAATTTGATGAAATCGGAATTCCTATTTCGTTTTCACACATATAAATAATATTTTTTTATATATATGTAATATAATATTTATATAATAATAATAATCATTTTTATATTCATGAATTCGGTGAAATCGGAATTTACCGAATTCCAAATTGAATTTGAAACGAATTCGAATTCGGAATTGGTGAATTCGAAATCGAAATCGATCAAAAATTCTGATACCAAAATTCCGAAAAATTCCAATTTCAAAGTTCTGAATTATCGATTTCGATTTCGATTCACAACCCTAACTACTTCTACGGGAAGTATCTTTGGGTAAGTTTAGATGATCAAATCATTATATTCAGACGCATATACAAATATTTCAGTCTTTCCCTACCTAAAATTATCAGTTTGAAGACGCAGGATGGCCATTAAATTGAATCGATCACCTCACACACCCCACAAAAAAAACACACACACACACACACTTTTTATATTAGGCTGTGTCTGCCATAATCAAAATCATCAGTTCGTATAGATATGAAAGTTTATAAAGTCCAAGAATTTAATGAAATTCAGGTGTCCATTAATATTGATGGCTGCAAGTGCCATTGCAAACTTTATTCATAATTAATTAAGCTACAATGCTTAGCAACTTTATTAATTTGTAACTGAAATTGCTTCCATACTTGAGACACTAGCTCTCTATAACAAAGATTCAACCTCTCTATGATTATAATTAACCCCGAATTTTCAAGCCGCTATGCTTGTACTTAGGGCTCTGGACCACGTCCCCGGAGGCTGCAGCGGCTGTTGCATTTCTTTCATGCTTCCCATCGCCACTGCTACTCCCCTTAGTGGCAACTCCTTGCACTTTTTTGCACGACGGACACACTGAAATCCCCACGCAGTTTGTTATTTGTGCATAAAATGCTGCCCTTAAGGCTTTCAAATCGTCAATCTCTTTCTTCAACTTGCCATTTTCCTCTCTCAGATTGTCGCAATGGTTCTTCCATAGCTCGCAATCAGTTTCTGTTTGCTTCAGTTTTGTTCTTCGAGATCATTCCAAGAATTGTATTTTCAATCAGATAAAAATTGAAAACGAAGTGTAATAAACAACCCAGAAAAGAGAAATTAAAAAAAAAAACTCGGATTTAGGTGTTGATCAAATAATCACCTGGCCCTCCTGTTTTGGAACCACACCTCAACTTGCCGAGGTTTCAAACCTAACCTGGCAGCCAGCTCAATTTTCTGAGCCTGCAACAAGTGTTAATCGAATATTTCTTGTCCTCAGAACTAGTAAAAACTTTGTAAATCCAAACGAAATAAATTCAAGTACATCTTCTAATTAATGATGTGATCTGGCCTCTCCTGATCATATATTTCTCTCTACATTTAATCGCAATTCTTTTCACCTTAAGAAATTTAGTAACATGCTGCTCATAGATAATATACACGTCCAGAGTATCAATAAGATCAGAAGGAAAAGGCGCGCTAATTAACACGTCAAGACTGTGACGGGAAAAAAATGAAAGAAACACTTACAGTGTTGAGAGTGGTGTGCTTTTTGAAACTATCTTCTAGAACAGCTGTTTGCTCCTTAGAGAGCCTCAACTTCTTTCTGCTTTCACCGCCATTATCCTCGCTATTTCTGCTAGATTGTCCTTCGTCAACCAAGGACAGGTCCAATGACAAGGCACGCTTGTCTGGCTTAGGCACTGAATTGCCGGAAGAAGTACCAATTCCGAGGGCAAGTTTGGTGTTGCAAAAGTCATCATCCACCATGATTGAGGATACAGAGAGAGGGAGAGATGGAGAGAAAAGTTGAAATGATAGAATGATGTTGGGAAAGGGGGGAATATATACATACGTATATATAGACGTATATATGTAGAGTCCATTTATCGAAACACTCATACAAAAAACTGTGAGTTATGAAAGGGGTATATATAGGTTGTAGCTAGGAATTTTTTTTTTTTTTTTTTGGAGTGATGGAGTAATTTGTTGTTACATGAAAGTGGGATCAAATAAATAATGTATTTATTATGAAGTTATAAAAGATGACAAAGCAAAACTGTAATAATATGAAATAGTAATTAATTGCAGGCGTTAGAGTATTTGTGGATCCTTAGATAGAGGCTCAATTAGTCTATAAGCCATGCTTATTCTAGATGTTTGACTTGTATGCTTAATGCTATAGAAGATTTGAACCTTAATTTTGTGTATATTAATTTGTTTGAAGGACAAATGTTCCCTCAGTAATTCTGGTTTGCTGCTACTCATCCTGCAGAGTTGATTGATAATCTGATTAAATGCAGCATGTAACTTCACAGGTATTCACTGATAGAGATGAAACAAGCAAGATCTGTAATAGCCGGACGGTTATGAAACATTCACCAACCCCCTGGATTATTGGTATTAAAAAAATAAAATGTTTCATTAAAGAGAGCTAACAATTATTAAAATAAATTTTCTTCATTTAAACATGAATTAATATCATTGGAAAATTAGACGATGGTTTTGCAAAAATGATCCTATAAGTTGATTCTAAAAATTGTTGCAGCCCAACTTGTGGATTGGTCCAATAACATGTTTTTCAAATTTCAATCAGTGACTGAGGTTCTGCGATTCTTCTTGTTGTTTAGTTTTGCAAGCCCTTCTCAATGAGGGTTTCCCGTATGTAAATTGCTAAGAAAATTGAGATGCGATAATGATGAAGATTGTTGGAGTTCTATATGGAGCCACACATTAATTGGTTCGTGAAAGTTGAATAATTTAAAAATGCATTTATTATTAAGTTATGGAAGAGGGTGACAAAGCAAAACTGCAATAATATGAGATTGTAATTGTACGCGTTATGAGTTTTGAGTCTTATATTGTATCCTTGCCTCGAAGTATAATAATATCCTGTGTGGCATTCTTGATTTTACGGGTGTAACTTCTAAGTTTAAGTTTAGCCAACAGTCAATTGCAATTTTGGAATATGGGCATATAAGGGAATTCGGTTTAATAAGGTTTAATTCGGATCAATGTTGGGAACCTCACAAATTGTTGAATCATTATTTATTTATATTGGGTCTATCTAACGGGCGCTTATAGGTCATTTGTTAAGATATATTTTAGACGTCATGTTTTATAAATGTAAAATTAATTAAGAAAAGTAAATAAATATAAGAAAGGGCAGATAAGATTAAATAGAGAAAGTATATAAATGTAAGGAAGGATAATAATTATTAGTATGCATATATTCATAATAAATTAAATACATTTTAGATATATTAACGGGTGCCCAATTGACACCCATGAAAAGAATCCATTTATATTATTGCTCTACGCACAGGACTGAGCAATAGAAATGAGACGAGAGCATGGAAAGGTAGACGTTTTCAAACGTACACCTGCACCACATGAGTTCTTGATTTTAACTAGGAAAGGCTGAATTGAGAGAGCGTATAATTCTCAAATATTGCTATGAAAAGTTGGATTGCAACAATTTGTTAGAAACAATAGCTATTATATTTTTGCCTACCAATTGGTTATAAAATTATTACGTGGTCCAAAACCTACGAACTATTATTTTAAAGTGAGACGTATTGAATTTAGAACCTCCTATTTATAATTCTGTCCGCCTTATCACGTAATTCAATGCTCCCCAAAACTATGAACTACTTAAATGATTTGTGTTAGATAATTGATTTTTTAAAAACTATTTTGCGTAGTCTTTTTCTTCTGTAATGAAACAACACCTACGCGAGAAATTGAGTGCTTTTTGTATGCAAATTCCTCTTATGGTTGAAAAAGATATCTTATGTATTTTGATATGGATTGCGAAAGAATAATGTGATCAAGTCATTTTAAACGAGAAAAAGAAAGAAGAAAAACTAATTGGTGATTTATAAATTTAAATGCTTCCAAATAATCTACACAATATCAAAATTTTCATCGAATCTTTCAATTAAAATACAAGACTTTTCTAAAATTAGACACAAGCCTTATCTATATATAAGATGGATGAGAAATATATTTATGTATTCTTTCATACCCATTGCGAGAGAATAATGTGATAAGAGCACGAATAGTGTTTGGCGACTATATAACAATTAGAGAAGGAAATATATATATATGACTGTGGTAAACAAACTAAAGTGAAAAGCATATAACAAAAAGCTCTGAAGACTAAGATACTCTTAAAGTTGAAAAAATTTGTTCGTGTCTAGATTACTAGTTTATTGTATATTTTCTAACAAACCATTAAAACCAATTAAGTTGATAATCAGTTCATTAGCTTTACCACTGGCGGTTAAGTATCCTAAATTAATTGGCCGTTCATGCAAGTTGTATCTTTTGCCCAATGCTATAAAACTGGCTAAAGCCTTATAGTTAACGTCTTGCCATGCCGCACTATTGATTGACAAAAGAGAGTCTGCCTCGTGTTTCGTTTTAATGTGAAGCTACGTACCACACAAGTTTAAACAAGCCTTAATTTGCCCTCTTCTTATCTAGCTTGTGTCATTTTCTTTTAATCCATGACAATCATTAACGGCTAGATGATGTTTAATTGTGGGATGAATTTTGTTAATTTAACTGTGAATTAAGCGTCTATTCCGCAGTAATACAAACGAGGATATGTTCTCGATCATTGTCTTTCTTCCTCTTCCTAACTTTACAACCCTCACCTTTTCGGAAACAATTAAGTAAAAATGATATTTTGACATTAGATAAAAGCAAATGTAATCTGGAAGTATAAAGCATAACATACCAAATTAATTATAACATGAAAAATATCAGTCGAAATCTAATTTCACCTATATAATAGAACTAACTACAACTTGTTTATTATCCTCTCTATTAATTTCTTTTAGCTTTTGCCCTCTGCAGTGCTTATATAGGAATGAAGCTGTAGATTGTAGGGCACAATCATGCATGCATGCATGGTTCGTAACTCTTAAAGAACAAAATTGTCGTTTACAAAATATGGGGAAATGCAAAGAAGGAATAAAAAGAAACGAGGGTTGGGTAAGGTTTTTATGATGACAAATGAAAGAATAGTGTAATAAAAGGAGGGTTCAGTAGGGTGGGGCTTTGCATGTGGCATTAGAATTGCAATTTGAAGGCCAATAATTAGCTTAGAAAAATTTTTCAACTTGAGCGTCCTTCCAAGTCACAAGAAGTAATAGCACGCCGGCTGTGGCCAAACGAAATAATTGGCCTATACTTTGGTGAGTGACAATTACAAGGAAAAGTTTTTTTTTTTTTTTATGTTTTTCAATTTCATTTATATTGCTGCCATGATGCACAAGGAGTTATCATAACTCCAAAAAAAAAAAGTATGTATAGCAAAAATGGCATTTATGTGTTAATTATTTTTTAAATTGAAATTGGAAAGCCTTTGTGAGGTGCAGTGACCAGCGGTGAACTAAAAATATTATGTGACTCTATATGAGAGCCATCGATTATTTTAACCACAGAGATTGTCTAGTAATTTTTTTTTTTTTTGTCGACACAGGAGTGTCCGGATCAATTCTTATGGGGCCCGACTAATTTTCCCAACCCGACCAAGGCACGATAAGTGCGCAAGCGTCCTCATAGCGCAGTTTCGAACCCGGAACCTGAATGTCCCAAAGGAACGCTGCTACCATGTGGCTAAACTCGTTGGGGCGATTGTCTAGTAATTAGGAGAGAGTTTTTATAATTTTTTTTTACTATCAAATTTAAGTTTCAAATCATGGATCCGATAATTGGGAATAGAAAGGGTGTGGAAAGAGGAGGGAGGGTAAAAAAAAAAAAAAAGAGAGAGAGAGTTATGGATTATTTTGTTATAGGGTATGCTTAGAAGGGTGTACCAAACCTTACTGTTTTGTGAAATTAAAATAAAAATGAAAAAGTGTTCAAATGCAAGGAGAATAAAGAACAATGTAGCTTATCACATTATTAAGTACTCTGAGGATCTCATTACTCAATTTTTAGTTCCTTGATACTCAAAATTTCTTTTAAGAAAAAAATTCTTGCTGGGTCACATATATCAACTAGTTGTGAAAAACATAAATACAATAATTCCGCTATTATTACGAAATGTAAAAGGCTGCTAGAACTTAAATTGCCGAAAACTAAAGTTATTGGATGAAAGCGATTACCTTGATGGTATAAATATTGGAAAAGATACATATTATTGTAAGGCCTTTTTCCAAAGACTTAATCTAAAAAAATGTGCATGATCACTGCCGTAGTTTGTAGGGCACAAATTGTGCATGCATGGTACGTATAGACCCAAGCGTCATTTACGAGTACTGGTAATCCAGAAAGAGAGCGTGGAGGGCAATTTGCTGAACAATTAAGCATGCATAGGAAAAACTTTTCACGCCTGTGTCCCTCAAAGTAGTTATAGAGTAAAAGCCGGCCGGCAATGGCGATTATGTTCGAAGGTATTAAGGAAATGTTTTAGGGTTTATTTCAAGGACAGGAGAGTGCTTTTATTATTTTTTTTCATCACTTTTATGTAGGAAAATCTGTTAAAAAGTTACTGATGAATGCTATCATAATATAAACTAGAAAAAGAAAAGAATAGTCAAAGCGAAAATTCATGGGTTTAATAAGATAATCTTGTAAGAGCTTGTACGATGGATGCATTCTCATAAACGTAAACTTCAACAGTCATAGTAATTATGAACGCTACAAAATAGTTGAAAAAGTAACACAGTAAAAATACAGATTATTTTTTTAAAAAAAAAAGAAATACAGACAATATACTACGTTTAAGCCTCAATTCCAATCACTCTCTCCACTTCCTGTTTGGTACTTGTCCTCCATTTCACAATTTTTGTGTCCTTTACCATATGACGACTAGTCCAGTTTCTGAAAAATTATATCAACATTCGTTTTCAGAATATTAAAAATCCATCTTGGACTTGAGATTATACTGTCATTTCTGTTCTTAGGCTTTGTGTTTCCATAAAGCTAGAATGCAACACTAACTTTTGGAATTTGTACCTCGAAGAATTCTTGATCGTAAGGAGGATAAAAATGTAAGAAAATCATGCAGCTGCTGAAGCAATTAACGGGCAAAATGGTGTTAGGAGTCGAACGGAAGGATCAAATTGAAAGTCTGAGAGATAAGTCGGGTTGCGGATTGATCATAGTTATTGCTAATTTGCTATACGTCTTATGCTGGATATCTTTAAAATTATAGGACATGAATAAGACAACATGTGTCATATTATCTTGAGACATAAAAAAGAAGTTTTTCTTCTATTGTCCATTGCACATTAGCAATTCTCTTATACATAAGGAGGAGCGCTAGCTTAACATAATTTTATTTAAACGCAAATTCTTAAAGCACTAGTAGTAATCTTGCTTGATTCTAGGCCTCTGGACCTGTTTCACATTGCACCACAACTCCCGATAAGGTATTGTTGGTGGCATACCGGGCACACGAGCACATAACCTGAGAGACCATAAGCATAAAATGCTCCTTTCTGATCACCAGTTGCCAGTGCTTTCTGCTTTTCAATTTCTTCGCTCAGCTTGAGATTTTCCTCAATGAGATTTTTGCACACCTGTTTCAGCCTTTCACATTCAGACACATTCTTCTTGGACTTGGTCCTTCATCACAGGATTTAATTTGAGTTTTGTTATGATTCGAGTAGGAGTATAAATGCAACCAAAAGGAAAAAAAAGTTATGAATAATTACGTACCTGGCCCTGCGATTCTGAAACCAAATATCAACTTGTCGAGGGAACAAGCCTAACCTGTCAGCTAGCTCGTTCTTTAGAGCCTGCAAAATTTCAATCAGTTTCCTGTCCTTATAACATGAAAAAACATCAACATTTATTAATATGAAATCAGTTTTCATCTTCTAATGATGTGATCCCATATCCAATCAAATTGTTTTAGCTTAACGAATTTCGTACCACAACTAAGAAAATATGTTTTGATGGAATGACATAAAGATAAAAGCAATTTAATGTTATGACTATAACTACCTAACACAAAGTTTAATCCAGTGGATACAATAATATAAAAATCGAGAAATGAAGATGAAAAAAATCATTACTGTATCCGGATTCGGATGGTCATTGAAATTAGCCTCAAGGACAGCAGCTTGCTCTTTAGAGAGCCTTGACTTTTTGGCATTTTCATCACTACTGCCCTGGACCTGCTGAGCTCCAAGGGAGAGCTCCAAAGAGAGAACCCTCTTGGTGTTCTTACGGGGACCCCTCTTGGTGTTCTTACGGGGACCAAGCGCTAGAGAAAGCTGAGTGTTTGAGTTTTCACGAGCTTCCATGGTTTCACTCGAAAGGGAAAGAGATATAGGAAATTGGGATGGAAACTACTGATAGCAGGAAGAGGATATATATAGGCTGAGTGGAAAAACTTCCCGGGCTGATATATTTATTGGTTGTAATGACATGAAAGTTGCATACAATTAATAATAGAGATATGATAAAGATTTAAAATATGAAAAAAGGACAAAAGCAATGATATGCAATAATCTCCTCAGAAGGAAATTCAATAAATTCCACCTGCCATATTTACTATTATATATTTGACTTGTTAGTGCAGTTTTGACAAGGAACAATAATTCCCCATTATTATTTGGTTTGGATGCTGGCAACCCCCGAACTGTTGAAATCTAAAGATAAGCCTCAAAAAAAAAAAAAAAAAAAAGATAAGGTTGAACGGAAGAGAGGTTTCGATTTCCGAAATTCATTTTCTCTGTGAGAATGTGAATTACCAGGACTAATGCGTACCCCCAAGAAAAATACACGGTTGTAAGAATTGGTTTTGGATATTTTTTGTAGTCCAAACTATTTAAAGATTAGATAAATAATTTGTATGTGGTTTCTTCTAAATCCATATGCATATATATATATATATATATATATATATATATATATATATATATTTTGTCAAACAAATTCATATGCGGCGTACGTAGTGCACCCATCTGATTTATTGGTGGTATAGTTTCCGTCGGTTTTTCTAAACTCTGTTGGGTCTCTTTTCTTCCAGTGGAGGCTAGAGTAGAAATAGAAGTAAGAGTATGTTAGACTAGTTGTTGCTTGTCTGATAAAATACAAAAAGATAAATAGTTTATATGAGGTTAATCAACGAGTATCTTCCAATTATTCTTTTTTTTTTCTTTTGCTGAATGAGGGTTTTGCATACGCTATCAAGGTCGACGTAATCATTAGTCAAGCAAAAAGTTAAACAAAATAAAAGAAAGGTTTTCTGGTTTTGACACAAAGATCCTTAGCAGGGCAGACAGTGCAAGTGTAATCTATATATTCTTTTGATAGAAAAGACGGTACAAATGTGATTGAAGACAACTGATCATTTACGTGAATGAACTCCATAGAAATCACTCGTTGGTAATTTAAAACAACTTGAAAAGAAAGAGACACACACACACTACTGCATTAAAACAAAGAGAACACACATCCTACAGATATATTAAGTTGTTCTCGCATCATTAAGGTCGTTTGGCTTTCACTGATCTTCAAGCATCAAATAGAAACCATTAATTCAGCACGTAACTGTTCAAACTTCAAAGTTATTAGTCGATTTAGGCCATTAGATTTTACAGGCAAACCAACATGCTGGGCTTGTCTTCTGAATTATCACCAAAAATTTACACAAAGACTCGAGATTTATACTTTGTAAGGTTTTGGTTTAATGTTGATTCGATTTTCTGAATAGAAGGCATTCACACGGGACCTCTTCTCGTTTGTTAAACTTTAATGTCTAGTTGGGTGCTGCACACAAATCTTACCCAAAATTAATCAGGTGTTCTAATGGAAAATTCACTTTTAGTGACTAATTTAGTCAAAATTAAACATTTTTTTTGGGACTACTTTTGTTTTTCTTGAATCAATGAGAACCGATTTGATTTTACCCCAAACTTTAAGAACTAATTAAAAGTGCATTTGTCCTGGTTCTTACTTAAAGAGTTGCAAAGCTGAATAAATGCTATCAATAAAACAAAAAAAAAAATTTTTTTTTTGATGATCATGTTGGATGCATAGACACCTAGCAGACCATAAAAGAAAGAAAATTAAAAAAAAAAAAAAAAAAAAGCTTGAAACGTGTAATTTCATTGAAATACCAAGTTTTCTGGTATTACCAACTGCTAGAGGGAAAAAAACTAGTTTTATAGGTTTAGATGGGTTTTCATCAAAAGGCCGAAACTGTTTCCTTCTCAGAGGACAACGAGAGAGACATATGGAGGACAGATTCCAAAACTAGAAAAAAGGACTCCCATCGAAATGTTTTACGTTTTTACTTTTCAATTCTTTTTTGGTCTGACGGATTGAAACTAGTCGAGAGCTAATGATAGCAAGAGGGAAAAAAAAAGATGAAAGAATTTTAGATTGTCTGATCAATTAATATTTTTTTTTTTTGTTGTAGCAAATTATATTAAACGAAAACCAGAAAGCAGTGTAATCTGCGGTTGAAAAAATTGACCTCACTTGAGTTGGTTCTAGTTGATAACTTTGAAGGCCTCCAAGTTTCTTGAAATTGTATTTTAGCTACGCGATGTAGTGGAAAGCTTGTCCTTCAGTATCCTTCGGGGTTCTTCTCTGCCTATTCTCATGGCTGTCTATCTAAGTAAATATGATGACCACCCTTTACGTGTTCTTAATGATGGAGATGGCAAATTCAGCACCATTTTTATGGAAACAGATAATCTACGAAGGGATGTGAAGTTATTCTTCAAGATTTGTGTGAAGTGATATTGAAGTATGGTAATATTTACCAGAAATGAGGGTAGTATAAAAATGCTGCCCCCCAACACAAAAACCACACAAAACAAAGAAGATTCGGTTTGCCTAAAATCAGATGCTGAAAAAACATTACTCTTGTTCAAGAAATCAAATAAAAGAGCTTGATTTATTGGCAGGTTCACATGAATTAGGACCAAAAGGTCTGAATTCTGTGGATAAGAAGAGTTTAGCCACGAAGCATGCACGTTACGTTTTTTTGGCGCATGCAACCCAACGATTGACTTGGTAAGCAGCATCTGAAGCACAGAATTTATGAAGCTGTCCGGGATTGGTCTACTGTCATGTCGTCCAAATACACACAAAGAACCACAAGCATGGGCGTATTATACATGATGTTTCCTCTGCCCCCAGTCAATAATTGATTCTCTCCCCCAACTCCTTCCCCTCCTAGCCTTTTTCTCAGCTTCTCTATTTATTTGCTAGTCTCATCTGTTTTGCTCTCCCAAAAGACAACGGATAGTTTCTTCCAGTCTTTTGCTTATGCATTAGTCATGAGATACTTGGTGGCCATTATCTTTTCCTACCTCCTAATAGTGGCAATCACTGCAGTTTGCGAGGATGCCAACCCTTCTTCTTCTTCTTCTTCTTCTTCCAGAAAATGGAGCGTCTCATACAAGAGCCAACAAGGAATTCAGAATCTCAAGGTTAGCAGCATACTTACTATTTGTCCTCCTAACTTTGATAATATAACAAATTTGAAGAAATTTAGAAGAACCAGAATAAATAACATATAACATATCTTAGCTTTAGGTTTATCTAAATTCCTGCTGCATGTAAGCGAACTGGGTATGTAACCCTGTATGCATCTTACGTTGCTTCAATTGAAGATTATCCTTTCTTTTAATTTCATGATTGTGCAAGTCTCTGTGATAGCTCGAGGAAAATCTCCTGACGTCCAATTTGCAGGGCTCCTCCTATGTTGGAAGCGTAGAGCAGGCTGCTGGACGTGGAGCGAAACCTTCAAACCAAGAGTCCGAGGCATATTCCATGGAACCAGACAACTCAAGCAACATGGATGTTGAGGACATTGCTTACCATATCGATTATCACGGGGCGACTACACATCCTACACCGACTCCTAAGCATCCAAAACCATAGAGATTTAGCAGAGATTATGCACGCTCCTTATGAGTGAGCAACATGAGTGAATATAGCAATGCAGGAATAAGATCCATACCATATTGGATGTAGAATATTCCAAGCTGATTAATCTGTACTGCCTAGTCTATTTCAGCAGTGAAACATGCCTAATTAGTGAGACAAAATAGAGACTCGCGTATTTACTTTATGAATGGCAGATGACTGTAATACAAGTAACTCTCCAAGAGCTTAGTCTGCATAACTGGTCTCCGTTGCTAATATTTAGTCGTATACTCTCTTTTGGTGAATATCACAATTTACAAAATATTATTGTTTATCACAGCTAGGTTTCACGTTTTATCAACTGGTCAAATGGAGCGAAAGCATCCCTTTTGTATACTGCTGCCTTACTCTCTTGTATCTCTCAAGCAGCATCTTATAGTTTGGTTCAACATCCTCAAATAAAACTTCAGCACAGAACTTGGATTTAACCAGCAAAAATGCATCTTCTACAATGTCCTTATGCTGCATGCAAAAGTGCAAAATAGTTCTGGTGTCAGTTGAGGAAATACACGATCCATGTGATGAGTCCCTCTCCATGGTAAGATGCTGCAGCCATCTTAGTTGCTGGAAAAAATCTTCATGTTTCTGAACAGCTGTTTCCAAAAACTCAAGAAAATCTGAAAACTTTGACTCGGTATTGATCCTACTCGTCAGATAATTGAAAATCATCCTCTGGTTCATACTGAGCCATCCCTCAGTCGCTGTTGACAAAGAAATCTGCCCAACCAAGCAAGCCTTCCGAAATGTTGAGTCATTATCACCTATCAACTTGATTGCAACATGCAGCAGGTTCACTGACGTGATATATAGACTCCAAGACATCCAATCACTGAATTGTCGCTGAGGTCCTCCCTGTTTCTCACACCAATGATTGAGTGCAACACGGACGAAACCTTCCCATCTGAGATAAAGATTATTTAACATAGTCAGAAATTGACTGATGTCAAAGGAGTATAACTGGCTCTTCAAAAGCTGAGATATCAACACAATTACTTGTATTGACTTTTCAAATTTTCTCATAATTCTATCTGACTCCAAGATAAAAGTGGTAGTAAAAGAAAAAATTGAGATTCCAGTCCATCTCTATTTCAAAGAGGCACGTAATGAAGAATTCTCTGCTGTATCATGCCATATATTATTTTTCCTTTTCTGATAAATGAACAAAACTCGTTTGTCCAAAACTTAAAATGGGTACCCCAAAACAAAGTCACAGGTAATACACCTTTTGGATGTTTTCAGTTTCCCCAAAAATTGGTCCTTTTCCAATATCATCAGCAATAATTGGTGCAATAGGATCAATAATTAGAAAGAGAGTCAATTTTGATCCAATGTGGTATTTGTCATTAGTCCAACATCATTTCAGACGATTTATAATGAATGATAGAGAGGTCCAAATCAATTACAGTTTTGTTTACACCTGGCATAAATTCTCCAATAGGGTACCGACCCATGATTAATATATTTACTTAGCTTTCTTTGTTCATGACTTTGTAGAAAATAACCTATTGAATAAATTCAAAAGAAAAGACATATATTTGAGAAAATATCCAACAAAACAACAAAACCGAACGTACCTAGTTTGCGACCTTTATGGCCTATTAAAACTACTGACTACCAAAAGCATGCTTTAAATGGATATCCTTCAAGACTCTTTTTACATCATAAACATTGAATTCTTAGAGTTTCTTAAAGCGTTAGATGGGAAAACCACTATTGTTTCATATTTATCACATAAGGATTCTTATGGAGCTTTTTTTGTGCAGGATCACTATAGAGTTATCTGGTCAGCCCCTGGCCTCCGGGGGGAATAAAAAATGTGCAAAACATTTGGGAAAATTATGACAAAATTTGCGTAGTATTTTATTTAGGGCTATTGGAAAGAAACATAATATGGCAAGTTTGTTAAGATAAAGTTTCAGCCGGATGTAGACATGTAAGAGGATAGATTGGAATTTTCCCAACACTGAGACTCTTGAAAGAATGTAAAAGTTAGTGCAAGCAAGCACTTACGCAAATGGAGGCTCAACCTCAATAGCCAGAGTGAGGTGCAAGGAGAATCTAGCTGACCCATCTTCATCAATGGTTGCACGCGCTTCATGAGGGAAACCTCTAGGAATATACAGAACATCACCTTCTTTAAGCAGAAACTGCAGCTTTCCATTTACTGCTTGATTTTCAGGATCAGAATCAGGCCAATTACCATTACTTTGATACAGGCGTGGTAACTGCAAACTTGATCGGGGAAAAATGTTCCACTCCTTTACCCCTCCAAGTTGGCACACAAAAACACAATGATCATCACTATGGCAAGATAATCCTTGCGAGTGTGGAGGTGTTAAGTACATATTCACACCTGCTGATGGTTGGCCAAAGAGCGCTGCTAAGCCATCTGCAATTGCAGCTATACTTTCAAATCGGAACTCCATACCACGCAGAGCAATTGTGTAGCCACTATTATATGCTTCCTCACATTCTAGCATATCATTGACATTGAAAAAATGAGCTTCAGATCTGCTAGAGCCCGATTGCCTGAAAGAATAATGCAACTCCTCTGAGTAATGCGTTCTTACAACACGAATATCCTGTTCGTAGATTATTGGACAACCAAGATTATCTCTCGCCTCCTCCAAGAAATGATGGACATTGAGTTCATCTGACTCTATTGGCGGACAAGAAGTCAGCTTCTTCAGCATAGACAGAAGAAAAGAAGGAATTTCTTTTGATTGAAAACATTCAACAAGACAGCCAAAAATATTGCCTTGCTCGAGGGAATCCTTCAATGAGCCTTTAATCAGTAAAGGTGACATCTCCCAGTAGTCCAATATAAATTGTTGAAAATCAACCTCCCCCAAAGGGAAAATGCTTCTCATAATTTCTTTGACATTTGAATGTTCTTCAACTTGATTGTTACCTATTGAAAGCCTGAAAATACTTTCTGCCAGATTATTTGTTCCAATATTACTTGCACAAAAATGTCTTTCCTGACTGTAATTCAAAGAAGTACAACATAAGATCATACGATGTACTTCTTCCCACAATCTTTTCAAGTGGTTGATGAAACTTTTAGAAAGGTTTCCTGGAATATCCTGCAGTTGTTTAGTTGTACAGGAATTGATGAGCACAAGAGTAGCATGAAATAGCAGCACAGTGTATTCTTCTTCCTCAAACACCATTCGCAGGCAGCTTCCACTGCCTTTCAGGTCACTAAAGAGAGAAACAACAGCAGGAAATGGCTTATATTCCTGAATGAAACAAACACTACAAGATGTTAAGTCCAGAGCTGCAAAGTTGTGAGTTGAATAGTGAAAATCTTGGGAGGATTAAGTTAATCCAGATAAATAAGTAGCCAAAATTATCTAACAAGATGAAATTTTGAAAACACGCCAAAGAATTCTAAAGTAGAAAACAAGTACACTTTGACAGTGAAAAAATTGAGACGGTTCTTCCTTTGCTAATATCCCAATAACCAAGAAATTGTCACACAGTTGAAAATAGAAGCTGAAGTTAATCAAGATAAACTTTCTTAAGCTTCAAAATTTTTAACTGTTAAACTTGATTAAAAGCGACAATAGGTTAAAGCAATAGCTGATGATTTCCAAGCAGACTTGTTTCTTAACATACAGAATTCAGGCACTGAAATCAACTTTTGAAATGCAATCTATAGTTCGACACAATTTACTTGCTTCACGTTTATTTTGTCTCAGAATCACTTGATTATGTTTGTCAGTTGCTAGCTTACATGTTATTTAGCAGCATTTCTCTTAAACTTACAATCCTCCAAGTTTTATATCCAGTCAAAGATTTTTTTCCATCTAATAGACTGGGAATAGTCAAAGCGCATCATAGTAAGGCATTAAAAAACGCGCAATAAATACAGCATTTGCCACACAGTTCATGTGGAAAGGTATTTGTATTATAGTCTATAAAACAGTATAAAGAAACTAAACGGAAAAACCACATTTCTAAATTCGAAATTACTCACATAAGCTTCTCAAGGACTGAGAAATGTAGCAGCCTTTGTCTTCCGATGGAGGTGGTCAAAAGATCCAGAGTTGCGTTACAGGCAGCAACGGATACATCGCTACTTGAACTTCCCAGCATCAAATTGATCAACCCCATTATTATCCCATCTTCTAAAGCAATCATTTCATTCATTTCGATCGAAATGAGTGATGCAGCTCCAACAAGCTCAGCACTTTTACAAGCAATTTCATCACTCCTAAGACATACCCCAGAAACTCAAATAAATTAGTTTAAAAAAAAAAGGAAAAGGATACAACTCCCATAGCACAATGTACAACGCAACGACAATCCAAAAGCATGCTCTAGCAAGAAATTTAAGCAATCAAGCCAGTCACTATCCTTATTTCCTTCCTGTCTTTCAATGGCTAACTATGAAGTATGGACCATCAGTAGCAAATACAGAAGGGAACCCGGAAAATATGTCCAAAAGCCACAACCTTTACATATGCAAAAGCTACAGCCCAAAAATTGAGGAACATAAATACCCACTACAACGTATTAATAAATCCAAAGATAAAAAGGGGCATAAAAAAGAAAGAATCTTGCTACACAAATGTGCAGAAAACAACAGAAAAAGATAAACATGTGCAACATAATATGGCAGAAAGTTGGGAAGGCAAAAAGTTAAATAAACAAGTTACTTGGAGTTCAGAAGGATAGGAAGCAAGGAGAGAATTGGGGGAGATAGGTATTGGGGAAGAGAGCGATGAAGTCGATTTAGACAATGGTTGATGAGGTGAAAATTACGAGAGGAGTAGGACTCGTTATCAGAAGAACAATAAAGGGCTGCCAAGATTATAGCAAAAAGGGTCTCCGAGTTGGGGTTTCGGATTGCTAATTGTTGGTGTTGGATCCGCTTTCTGGTTTTTATTCTACTCATTCTTTCGGACTTCTTCATTTCAAGTCTTGGACAGTCTCTTCTTGTAACGGGGACTGGGGAGGGGGGCAAACGGGAAAGAATGAGGTCTGGAATTGCAATTTGCAACTGTTCAAGTTAAACGCTACCTAGCAACTTCTCTCTGCCCTAAGATCATCTACCTGCACGGTTCCCTAATTTTAAGGGCTTGCCAATGAAATAACAAAATGATCCAAGTAATATTTCTTTTTTTCTTAAAACTGTTTGATTTATTGTCATTAAATAATTATAATAATAGATTCGAAAAACCAAGTTGGACGACCTATTTTCTCAATTT